ATTCCATTGCTGTATTTATGGCTTTAATTTCGGACAGAGGGCTAGAGACTGAAATGAATCTTAATGACCCTGGTCAGTAGTGATGCGTGGAGATTTGTCACCGGGACAGGTCATCTGAGTGTGCACCAGCAGGGGAGATACTCATTCTAATCCATCATGTCCATTGCTCATTTACAGACACACTGGCCCGTGGGAACGTGAGCAGACATGATCGAAGCTTCCAAACTTGGGCCTCCTTAGCTTTAGTCTAGAACCTCTTGAGACAGCATATTAAAACATTTCCTTGTTTATTACTGTGAATACTTGAATACCTTATCAGAGCAGTTTCAGTGGCGTGGAGAGGGGGGTTTGGTTGAGGTGAGCTCAGGAGGAAGCCCACGTAGGTGTCGATAGGAGCCGTGGAAATGGAGGCAGCGATAATAAATGACTCTTTCTCGAAACACTCGGCTAAAAAGGGAAGGAAAGAGACACAGAGAAGCAAGAGGGTCAAGGGATGAAGACATGAAGATGGGAGAGAGGATGTTGGTAGACTGGGGAAGGATGCAGAGGGAAGATGTGGGAGAAGGGGGTGATGGCCGACGGATCCAGGCCCTGGAGAAGGCAGGAAAGGTGAGAGCAGGGACACAGGTCAAGGGACCAATATTAAAGAGAAAAGGAGGCAGGGACGAATGCAGAGAAATGAGCTGGCGGAGATGGGAATTTGGGAGACTTGTTCGATGACCCCAAATTTTTAAAAAAATTCTTACAACAACCTGTGCATTTGGTCTACCGTTGATTACTGCCGTTCCGAAGACCAGGAACCTAAGTCAGAGAGCAGTTAGATAACTTACTCAAGTTTAGTCCATACATAGTGACAGATGTCATGAACCCGGAAAATTCCCACCTTGGCTTCCTCCTCGGTGCTAGTACGACCGTCAGCCCACATCCTGCCACCCTCCAAATGCTGGGTGATGATGGGCTTTGCTCTGGCCTCGTAGCACCAGGCTCCCGTTCCAGAACGCGGTCCCCTCCTCACGTGGGTTCTCCTCGAGGCGAGTGGAGGTCAATGGCGTGGACCTCGCTGTAGTAAAGAATTGGTTCAGCGTAGCGTAGGTGTGAGTTTCAAGCCTCGTTCTTTCGCGAATAGTCGTCGCAAAGACCGCGAAGGTGTATTGATGGATTTGGGTCGTTTCCAGGTCGCCCGTTTGCCATGGCTGTGTTTGGGGATCACGTGTGGTTCTCGGACTGGGCTGTGCCGTCGGTAGTGAGGCTGAACAAGAGGACTGGCCGAAACCGGGTTCGTCTCCGCGGCAGCATGCTGAAGCCCTCGTCACTGGTCGTGGTTCACCCTCTGGCGAAACCAGGTACGCTGGAGGTGTCACACAGTCTTTCCTTGGCTGGAATCTGTGACGATTTTAATTTTTTGCTGGCGGCTGGGGAAGGTGGGTGCAGAGGGCATTTGCAGTTTTCCCTAATCTGTGTAGATGTTAAGATTTTTTACGATAAGGACTTCGTTTAAACTAAGACAATCTGGTAGTTTGGTGATTTGGGCTTTATCCCAATTTGGTAATTTTGGTAATTTGGGTTTTCTCCCTCCAATTTCATCTCTTCTTTTCCTGAACAGTTTTTACTTACCTGCCACGTTTCAAAGACCCTCAGGTTAAAGGGACCGAGGGCAGGCAATTTAGGTACCTGCAGCGGAAGCTTCTACCTACACTTGGGCCCTTCCACACCCCCGAGAGTGCCAGGGATCGAGTCTCAGCCAGGTGTGAGCAGATTGTCCTGTGGCAGTCTGACTAGATGGTGAGTCAGGAGACGGGAATTGCAGCTGACTAGAGAGCTTCGTGAACAAAAGCGCTGCCTGGACTCAATGAGTGCTTGCCAAGTAATAGTAGTTTGGGCTTATCTTAGAATCGGGAGCTCTTCTGAAATAGCTCTTGATACACCCTCTGTTAAGATAGGTGAGTTTTCCTCCCCAGAAGCTGTGGGCTGTGATTTGCATCAGTGGCTTCCTTTCCATCTGCGACCCACAGATTCCATCTGTGAATCTGCCTCTTCTCTCTGCTAGGAGCAGATCCCTGCTTGCATCAAAACGGAGGCTGCGAACAGATTTGCGAAGCGAGGTTTGGAACTGCTTGGTGTTCATGCCGCGAGGGTTTTATGAAAGCCCCAGATGGGAAAATGTGTCTGGCTCTGAATGGCCATCAGATGCCAGCAGGTAATGTGATAAATTATGTAGCAAATTATCTACCTTTGGCTCAGGAATAGCTTACATCCATCTCTGTGCTTTTGCTGATTTTTAATATTTTGTATTATTAAAAGCTTCCCTGTTTTTAGGAATGCTGAGAGTTTGTTTTCCTCTGATGAGTTTTGAGTTCCTTATTGCAGATTACTTTTAGTTGACTTCTAGTTGTAAAAGTCTTCCACTATCATCCCTGCCCCATTCTACAGTGGGGTGGGGCCAGGCTTGGAAATAAATGACAGAAGTTTTTCATGTCACAAAAATATTTGGAGAGTTGGCTGGGTGCGGTGGCTCACGCCTATAATCCTAGCACTCTGGGAGGCCGAGGCGGGATGATGACTTGAGGTCAGGAGTTC